CAATCATCATTCCAGTCACACCCCAATCATCATTCAAGTCACACCCCAATCATCATTCCAGTCACACCCCAATCATCATTCAAGTCACACCCCAATCAATCGAATCACACCCCAATCATCATTCAAGTCACATCCTAACCATCCCAGTCACACCCCAATCATCATTCAAGTCACATCCTAACCATCATCCCAGTCACAGCCCAATCATCATTCATGTCACATCCTAACCATCATCCCAGTCACAACCCAATCATCATTCAAGTCGCATCCTAACCATCATCCCAGTCACAACCCAATCATCATTCAAGTCACATCCTAACCATCATCCTAGTCACAACCCAATCATCATTCAAGTCGCATCCTAACCATCATCCCAGTCACAACCCAATCATCATTCCAGTACAACCAAGTTTGTTGCTCTTTTCACAATTCCAAATCACAAATCCAAAATCCCCTCCATATAATATCTCTGGTTACAGCCTGTATACCTTTTCAGTACAATATGAATTTTATTTTCATTACTTTTTATGCTACTGTATTTTATTCATTAGCCAGAACAAGCTATTGAGGTTTACGAAGCTGCACTAAAACGCAATCCTCGAGATAGCACATTAGCAAGCAAGATTGGTCAGGCATTAATAAGAACTCATAATTATAATAAGGTAGTAAAAAATAATTTATCAGTTATTGCGATATAATTAAGATATTAATAAGATAATAAGATGTAATTTTATTTACAGGCAATTAACTATTATGAAGCTGCAGTAAAGTCAGGAAATCAAGGATTCCTCAGGTTAGTTTCCAATCTACATTCTGCTTTTAATTCTAATTGCCTCAGTATATATGCAATATGAAGAGACTTAAGGTCCGTTTATGCTGGAGTAATACGAGCAAAAAAATTGCTGCAACTTGCAACAAAATCTGATTTCTACGCATGTTAATTGAAAATGTTTATACACATACAGTACAAATCACGAGGCAACATGTGTCGACATTTCTACTTAACATGCGTTGAAATCAGATTTTGTTGCAAGTTGCAGCAATTTTGTTGCCCGTATTACTCCACCTTTACATGCACTTGCATTTTTTGCTGCGATTTCTAGTGCGATTTTCTTCTTCTGATGGATGTGAACGAGTGCATGAGCTTTGAAAGTTCAGATGAAGGTACATATACTCAGAACATTCATAACTCATCTATTCGTTCACATCCATCAGAAGGAGAAAATTGCAGCAAAAAATTGCAAGTATAAAAGAGCCTTTATGAAGTTTATAAATTCTGCAATTTTAGATAAATTTGGTGTACTTAATGTTTGTTGTAATACTGTATGTTTGATCTGTGACTAGATATGATCTTGCTGAACTTTACATGAAGATGAAGAATTACGAAAAAGCAGAGAAAGTAATCAGAACTGCTCTGGAACAGCAAAAAGGTAACTGCGCGCATTGTATTTTTTTACTTATGTATTCACTTATGCATGTAAAGCGACGACTTTGGAGCTTACAACAGTATTATTATATACCAACTTAATAATATTATTATTATATACCAACTTAATAACAGTATTATTATATACCAACTTAATAACAGTATTATTATATACCAACTTAATAACAGTATTATTATATACCAACTTAATAACAGTATTATTATATGCCAACTTAATAACAGTATTATACAATTACTTTATGGTTTCCGTGTTTGGATGGCCTGATCCAAACACGCGGGAATGTTGCGAGAGTTAAGAAAAGCGAGCGAAATCACGAGCCGAAGGCGAGTGATTTTGCCCGCTTTTCTTAACTCGAGCAACATTCCCAAGTGTTTGGATCAGTCCATCCAAACACGGAAACCATAAAGTAATTGTTTTATAAAATAACAACAACACGGTAGTCTTCCGTGTTTGGATGGCCTGATCCAAACACGGCTTTCGACCAATCAGAATACGCGTTATATACATGTTATTTTATAATATTATATACCATCGGTCGAAGTTCATGCTTTCTTTGCGTCTCATTATACGAGAGTGTATCCCGGCAACAGCTTTGAGCGGTGGAGACCATTATATACTTTTATTCACCAGTGAATAATAAAATCGTCGAGCTATAGGCAACATTTATGGGAGTTTCCCGAATCTTTTTGGTTTCTTTTGTTTTCTTTGACACTTGCATGGTATATACATACTAGTTTACCCACAGGGTAGTGAATGCTGCCTTGGTATAGCATTGTTCCCAAATCTTTAGTATTTTAAAGAACAAGAATGAGAAATATTTGTAATGAATTGGAATCATCCATAATTTATACATCAACATTTTCAAAAACGGCCAATTAGACCAGGGGTTAATGTTTATCAAAGAAGGCAGAAATATATACAAGACAACCTCACATGTGGAATCTGTTCACTTACGCACTGGCTTGTGATGCAGTACAAGTATAAATACAAATGACAAAGCATTTTTAAATCCTAAAACATATAATTGCGAAAGCGTATAATGGTAAAAGCACCGCGTATAATGCTAAAAGCACCCAGCCACTTTAAGCCAGCTATGGCTTTCCATAAAAGAAGACCAAAGATGAAAGATGATCACATTGCCTATTTGCGTTAGGCCTGACCGCGCTGCACCACGGTCAAAATCCACTGGTACCGTCATGCAATCCGCCAAGTAGAAAATTTTGATTTCGACCCACAAAACAAAATTAGGAACTGCAGCCTTGCTCGCTCGCTTCAGGCTCGCTCGCTGCGGCAGCAATTAGTATATGTATCATATACGTACTGTACATACACACGGAAAATTCTTCTACCAATTCACTCATGGCCCAAGCTGTTAAATAAGACCCATTGAAAACACAATTCAACACAACATGATTTTTGGGGAGAAGGGATTCTGGGGTTGAAGGGATTCTGCGCTGATTTTGAACTGAATGCCCTGTGTGGCAGAGCCTTGCCAGAGGAAGTGTAGCTAAGGAACCTGACCAAGGACCACTTGGGCAGTACCAAGGAGCCCAAAATCCCTATGGGTTTATATCTTTAACCTGACCATAAACGTCACCAAATGCGCGTATGTTTTTAATTACAGTAAACTATTCCGTGCGTACCTAAACGCTTGACTGGACTCACTAGAGTAAAACAGTTAAAGTGTCATGCAATTGATGATTCGTGTTATAATAACGGCAGATTATTTATCGTAGGAACAGATGTTGCTTCATTAATGGAGGAAAGTAAACTGCTTGTTTTGCTTGCCAAAATCCACCAAAAGACAAGTAATACAGAAGAATATTTGAAAGTTTTAATGAATGCGAAAGATGTCCAAATAAGGTACGATTGTAAAAAAATCATTATTTTGTCAGTTTAAATAAGTATAGGTTATTTTGAGGCAACGAGGGGATATGTAATTTATTCACCGAGGTGCGCAGCGCCGAGGTGAATAAATGACATATCCCCTCGTTGCCTCAAAATAACCTATACATATTTTCACATTGCGAGGTCGCGTTAATGAGTCAGAATAGAAATAATTCTTAATGCCATATTGCCTTCGTTATGTTGTTTTTTTCTCATTTTTTGTGTTGCAAAGACATTGCAGGTGAATATTAGGGGGGATTATTAAACGGAAATTGATTAGAGGGGAATATTGAATATATTCCCCGATAAGAACAAAGGAAACCGAGCATGGTGAAAAATAACTTGGGTTGTATGTGTTTTGACTTCAAGCCTAGTTCTCATTCATCGCAAACTGTCACCGACGATCGGCGACGCTTATCGCCGATGCTCGCCGAGCGCGAATGCACGAAAGTTCTCATACATCGGTGATGATCGTCGCAGATGACAGCCGATGTGTTTCGAAATTTCCCACCAAGGCACAAAATGGCCCCGTTCAACGTAAAGTTCATGATTTCTGTCAAACTTCAGTTGATTATTTCCTTGTTTGTTGAGGAAAAAACAACTTTTACTCATTTCTCATAGATTTTTCAAGCAGGTGGCAGACGGCGATGATCGGCGATGGTCGCAAGGAACAAACTTTTTTGTTTCCTGCGATGTCATCGCCGATGGTCGGCGACGATCACGGACAATCGGCGATATAATTTTTTATGTGTTCTCATAAATAGCAAGCGGTCGCCGACGTCGCAAAGCTCCCATCGCCGACGGTTTGCGATGAATGAGAACTAGGCTTAACGTCAACTCCAAAGATCTGTCCGGTGATCAGAAGGTTACGTGGTTCAATCCCCGTTAGGGCTCAGAACTTTTCTGAGTATAGGCTTGATACGCATCTACACCAAATCATATAGTTAACAAGCTACCACAGCAACACACATAATAGAAATGCAGTTCTTAATAAAAACATCAACAACATGTAACACACAGAACTAGTAAATAACGTAACCTTCGCTCACCATCTGAGACCTTATAGCTCAATGGTTAGAGCGGCTGTCTTGTTGTCAGAAGGCGATATGGTTCAATTCCCGTTAGGGCTCAGAACATTTCTGAGTATAGGCTTGATACGCATCTACACCAAATCAAGATAGTCAAGATACCTTCTTGTATCATTATTAGAGTAGAAGTCTTTATTCAAATATATTCATTGTCTAGGGTGTTAAAGAGAGTTGGTCTTGAACAACCTGATCAAGTTTCCTTACAAACGCTTCAGGCAGCGAAGTATGTTAACTTCCTTTCGATGTTTTAACTGAAGTGAAATGTTGAAGTATATCAATATTAATGGTTTTAGGTTGATCTTGTTGGAAAAAGCTAATATTTAAAATTAGCGCAGGATATTTTGCACTTACTTTTGGCACAACATCTGTCTTCGTTTCAGTTTGTCAAGCCTAGCTTATTTCTCGCTGACGCCCTCAAATAAATGCCTGCTATACGCAGAATATATCAAGCCAAGGTCTCCTATATGTAGCCTGACTTGCGACGTTGCTTGTTTCGTTCTTCAGGTATTGCAGTTTGTTTGATTTGTTTATATTGAATAAATTTATAATGCTATGAGCAGAATAAGAAATTTTGAAATCTTTAAGAATTTGAAACAGAAAAATCATCAATTTCAAATCCATTTTCGTTGTGAAAATTATTACTTTAGCACTATACATAACATATCAAACAAACTGCAATGCCTCGAAAAGGAAGATGGTGTAAAATAAGTTGCAGTACAGCTTCAAGAGTTATTTCTAGGAAAATTTAATTTGTGTAATGTCAGACATCAAATGCGGATGTCCTTTAAAATTGAATGACACTAATATATTATCTCATATTTGATCATTTTAGAATCTGCTGTGACATAGCAGAGGTAGCGACGAGCAAACGAGAATATGACCAAGCCATTAGATCATACAAGGAAGCTTTGTCACACGATAGTTCACATGTAAAGGTACTGTACTTTTTTTCCTTCATTACCAAAACTTCTTATGATTTTTTTTTATTGCTGCGATGGTGGAGCAACATCACAACCACCCTCCCTGAAAATCAACATTGGAGCTTTTGATCCCAGCTTGGGATGGATTATGGCAGGGATAGATTTACTGGGGGATGCAGGGGATGCGCTCCCCTCCTAGCCTTGGCAAAGTAGTTGCAAGGGGGGGGGATTTCCTTATTAAATCCATTTTTTGCTTTGGAAAGGCAATAAACTGTACTGTTTTAATATTGCACTCTTTCCGTTTTTGTTAACACGGACGTCACCTGAAAATTGGTATAACTAATTTTTGCGGCATTTTTCATCATAGGGCTCGTGTAAAGGGCTGGTCACACTACACAACGATAACTTGTATACGCGCTCTGATTGGTCAAAAAATTTATCCTTATTGTCCGACTGAAAATCGCTTGGGTGAGCGATTTTAAAATCGTTATCGTCAAACGATAATTTTATTGTTCTCGTTGTAGTGTATTACTTGTATTCACCGGTGAATAATAAAATCGTCGAGCTATAAAGCAACATTTAAAGCTGTTGAATAAGACCCATTGAAAACACAATACAACACAATTCAGTGAGCGATTTTAAAATCGTTATCGTCAAACGATAATTTTATTGTTTTCGTTGTCTGGACACCAACATAACTTTTTGACCAATCATCGCGTGTTTACAAGTTACCGTATCATTATCGTTGTTTAGTGTGACCTGGGCTTAAGGTGGCTCCCTACAGTTATTCTTGTTTAAGCAATAATTCCGTAAAACAGGCTTATTCGTGCAGAACGCGAATTCTTTTCGACTTGGTGGCAATATTGGTCACCTAAGGAATATTTCGAACTAGATTTCGACAACGTCAATGTTCCCGTGGCAACATGACGACAGCATAAAGCCTTCCAATTTAACCCATAAATGTGCCGCTATCTCAAAAACGATGTCGGTGACCTATCTTTTTTATTTCATATATCAATAGGGAATGATACTCTGCAACTGTGGTGAAAATTCTGTAGTGTGTGATTTTTTTAAAAGCGAAAATTTTATTGCGAAATGGACCTTTCCCCTTATAACTAAAATTTCGATCTAGACAAAGTTTTGTTGCAAAATCTTGTAAAATGCGGATAATATGGCCTTGCGAAGTTTGCCGTTTTTCAGTCATTTTGTATTACGAACGGGAAATTGACATCCGATTCGGGTGTTGGGGCTGCAATTTCCCGTTTGTAATGCAAAATGACTGAAAATTGCAAACTTCGCAAGGCTCTATTTTCCTCATTTTACAACATTTCGCAACGAAACTTTGGAATATTACTAATTTTGTGATGCTCTTTCAAGCTGTGATGAAATATTTGTCTAGACTTGCCTAGATCAAAATTTTGGTTATAAGGGGAAAGGTCTATTTCCACACTAAAGATTTTTTTAAAAATTGAAATTTATAAAATTTACCGCAAAATAAATTCGTGGTCAAAATTTGAAGATAGGTCACCGATGAAACTAATGAGTAAAATGCAAATAAAGTTAGAAAATAGCCTCGTGTAACTCGAGAAATTCCCTTATTGAAAAGCGTCGCTGACTAGTAAAAGATTGTACGCGGGCGCAGAACGAGTTTTCATTCAGCAAAATCGAGCGGCAATGTTGTTTTTACTGTTTTGTTTTTGTCAACTTTTCGATTTATTTGAGTGCCATGGACAGCCAAGGATTATTGTGAACGATCAAATCGGTGAAAACAAGGTTGAAACTAATTGAATCCTGCCGTTTACTCAATCTATGAGCTGTAACAGCCTATTAACAGGTGGACGTGTTTTTTTGTTTCATGTTTGGTTTTGTACTTTTTCCTAAAAATGAACAATTAGGCTATGAAACTGAAATATTTTTCTGTTTACATATAATCACTTTAATCTTGTAGAAACACGACTAAAAACGTGAACGTTTTCTTGAGAAGTAAACAACTTTTTAAACGTTTGTATGCAATTTCGCAAATGTTTTACTGTTGACAGTGTATATTTTAAAAAAATTAAAAAACATTGTTTCCTAGCTATTTTTTGGTCTAGTGATATTCGTATCATATGTAGAATTGCTGTATAGACTCGCAAGTGATTAGGCACTCAAAACGAAGTATTATTCAACGCTTTTTTCCATTAGAAACCTTTCAGAAATAGCTTTATTTTTAAAAAAAGCGTGGTCAATTTTTGTTTTGTTTTGATCATGCGGTTGCGTGGGATAGTTCACGTAATGGTCCCGCGAACATCCCGCACGCAACTGTAGGGAGCCTCCTTTAAAAATCTTATATTTTGTCATATGTGTTGAAGAATACCACAAACTGATACAAACACAGTTTTTGATCCAGTACCACCTCGGCAATCTGACAAAACACGTCGCTTGCTTATGCTCGCTAATGTCGAACTGAACTACAGTATTTGTAATGATGACGATAATTGTTCTAATTTTTTGCTTGGACGTAGGCAATGTTAGCGCTCGCCAGATTACATTTATTGGTTAACGACTTGGATGCTTGTCAACAGCAATGTTCACAGTTGTTGGAAATGGATAAAGACAATGACTCGGCATTTATGGTAAATTATAGTATTAATTTCTGTGCATATTTCTGCAATGTTTCCTCACCTGCAGTTCTTACTACCGTAATTCTACTGTATTTAATTTAGGGCCCTTTGGAGGGGCTTTTTGGAGACAGGGTCTTCTTCTTTGGAGATTGGAGCTTCTTCTTTGGAGACAGGGGTTCTTCTTTGGAGACAGGGGTTCTTCGTTGGAGACAGGGGTTCCTCTTTGGAGACAGGGGTTCTTCTTTGGAGACCGGGGCTTCTTCTTTGGAGACAGGGGTTCTTCTTTGGAGATAGCCCTGGGCTTCTTCTTTGGAGACAGGGTCTTCTTTGGAGATAGGGGCCTCTTCTTTGGAGATAGCCCTGGGCTTCTTCTTTGGAGACAGGGTCTTCTTTGGAGATAGGGGCTTCTTCTTTGGAGACAGGGGCTTCTTCTTTGGAGATAGGGGCTTCTTCTTTGGAGACAGGGTCTTCTTTGGAGATAGGAGCTTCTTCTTTGGAGACAGGGGCTTCTTCTTTGGAGATAGGAGCTTCTTCTTTGGAGACAGGGTCTTCTTTGGAGATAGGGGCTTCTTCTTTGGAGATTAGATAGGGGTTTCTTCTTTGCAGACAGGGTCTTCTTCTTTGGAGATAGGAGCTTCTTCTTTGGAGACAGGGGCTTCTTCTTTGGAGACAGGGGCTTCTTCTTTGGAGATAGGGGCTTCTTCTTTGGAGACAGGGGCTTCTTCTTTGGAGATGGGGCTTCGTTTAATTAACTGCGATTTGTCTGGCCGATTTCAGGTTTTGCCAAATGTTAACGACGAATCATTTCAGATTATGATGTCCTCAGATTATGATGTCCTCAGATTACTTTTACCTCGTGTTTTTTTTTTAATTTTATTGTACTGGATATTAAATCGTCCGCCTGACAAATCGTGGTGTGTAAACATCGCAAACATTGGTTAAGGCTTTCCCTTCAATTTTGATTAATAAATCATATATTCATCAAATATGTAGGCTCCAATACTGAGGAACAGAATTGAAATATCTGTATTTATGTTGCTTTGTCTTATTCCAGATGATGGCTGAGTTAATGTTTCGCAAGCATGATTATGAGTCAGCTATCTTCAACTTTCAACAACTGCTGGAAAGAAAGCCAGGTAGACTCACTGTCGTGGTGGTCAATAAGCTTTAATGAATTGCTATTTGCATGCATCTAAAATCTTGAGGAGGTGAAATGTTTAAATTACTCACGAATAATAAATTATTTACCTCCGTTCACAGCATTTAAATTTTCCTAACTGTTGTAAGTCTGCAACAAGAACTAAAGTTATGTATACCTGAGGACGCTTGTACGGAAGCCAGATAATATAGAGGTTCAGATTTGACTACCACTACCTCTAACTGACCAGATTAAACTGTAGTATACATAATTAAAGTTTCCTTTTATTAATTGTGGGATCCATATTCTTTATTTTTATAACTTTTTCGTTTATAACGTTTTATAACTTTTCAAACATTTTTCCAACGGTTGGAAAAATCACTGTCCGGTGGATAGCTCCATCCGGCCATCTTACAACCGGCCTCAGTTGCATAACCTTACCCTGGTTACGGAGGTTCTTACCACACGGCGGGGTGAAAGAGCTGGAACTTGGCTAGTATTGATAAACAAATGTTATGAAAATTTAACATTAATAATAAGTAATAAATGAATTTTCTCTCTATATACGAGTTCAATAGTTAGAAGTATCTTTGTATGGGATTCTTCACAGTTGTGACCAATTACTTTATTTTCTGAAGACTTTCATTTCGAAGAAGTCATTTATTTTGTTTAGACCAATACGAAGCGTTGGGACGACTTCTTGATCTGCTAAGACGAGCTGGAAAACTGGAGGAATGTGACAAGTTCATACAACAAGTAAGTACGCTTAGGAGGTGGCGCAATTGTCAGAGCAGGCGCCTTTCACCCCTGAGATCGTGGATTCGATTCTCGCTGCGGACATGTGAAGCTCATGTGAAAAGAGTAGGGCAATTAGCCTTTCTCACGAAGGCCAAAATCCGCCAGTTTGGGGTACTGTCTGCCCTCGTGAAAGATTCTAGACAGTTCAAACAACGTGAAAAGCGACTTTTAAATGTTGTAACTGTAATACTATAATACTAAAACGTCGCACAACTATAATACTAAAAAGTCGCACAACTATAATACTAAAACGTCGCACAACTATAATACTAAAAAGTCGCACAACTATAAACTAAAACGTCGCACAACTATAATACTAAAAAGTCGCATTTCATGGTGCGGAGACTCTCGAACGTGGGAGAGGCCGTGAAAATCGGCCGTGAGAAAGGCTAATTCTTTACCGAAAGTCGTGGCCCCTCACTGGAAAAAAAAGTAAAATCCATACTACGAAATTTGCAATTGCACCACTAAATCCATAGTATGTCCATACTATTTCCTTACTATATCCATACTATGGAAATATACAATTATTATGGATAACCAAAATCCATTCTATTTCCAATAAAGGTCCATACAATTTCCATTCTATGACCTTCTATGGATTTTCAAAATTTTTTCCAGTGCTTTCTCATCCTTCCGGTTCAGCTTTTAGCTTTGGCGTATAACGCAAACTTCGGTTTTGATCATTCGCGGCTGTATGCATGCTTTTAAAACCTCATCCAATAATTATTTACTAGAAATACATGCATGCATCAACCCCTCGCCTCTTCACTCTATAAGTTTGAATTTAAGGTAAAATCTTGGCGGTTGGCTAATTCCACTCCTGGCAGTTCGCCATATTTTGAGATCAGCGAGATGACCACCCACTACCCCACTTTTGAAACCGCTAGCAACCTTCCTTTTCCCTGGTGTAAATAGCCGTGCGGAATTAGTACCTTCGCCACAGGCTTACGCGCTCCGTTGGCTCGGGGATTAAAGTTCGAGTCTACTATTGTAACGTTTTTGTTCTTTTAGGCAGAGAAATCTCCTCGAACAGGCAGAGATGCCGGGTTAAATTACTGCAAGGGAATGAATGAATGGTAAATATGGATAATCGTATATTAATTATACTATATGAGAATAAAACATATGGACACTCGTATGTCACTAATTCAAAGATACATGATTTCACCCTCGCCTGTCAGGGCCGCTGAGAGGTTCCCGGGGAACCGGGGGAAAACCTCCCAGGGTACCCTTTTACGTCATAAAATTTCCCAAGTGCCCCTATGACGTGACAATTGTTAAACGAGAAAAGCGGTTTTTTATAATATATTACGCATTATTGAATACTATCCGGCACAAAGGATTTATATTCTCGGATAAGCAATCTTGTATCAAGAAATTTTAAGGGCCTTCATCGCTCTGGGGGTAGGACCTTTTGAGCTGGGGCACAGGAAAAAATGACCCCCCCCCCCCTCTCGGCGGTCCTGCTGCCTGTTTCAACGCGTTGGTGTGTTTTCCTCCAGGTATTAAAATACTTGGTATAAAATAATTCGTTGACCGCTTTCTTGTCTGATATTCAATGTTTTACAAAACTGTAATCGCCAGTAATGCTGCACCTTATATATGCTGATGTGATTTTTTGTTCCAGGTCTAAAAATAATCCAACTCAAGCTTTAAAATTTTTCAACTTGGCAAGAAAAGATGCTGAATGGTTTGTACATGTTCATAGAAGATTTTTTGTGTACTTTCATTCGCTTCCGTGCATAGAAATGCAATTAGAATTTCAGGATTATTTGCTGCCCTATTTGACGAAATGTATTTATTGCAAACTTTTGGTAATTCGTAGAGTAACTCATATTTTCATCGCTTTTCTCTGACTATCCACAAAATTAATATGTTAAAACATGATTGTTGTGTCTTAATAATAGGTTCCTGACTTCCTCGACCACTGCACATCAATGATCATGCCAATCATGCACTCGCATTAACAAATTATATTTACAAACGTGTAACCCTAGTTTGCAATCTTCTACCTACCTATACTATATAATAAACAAATTATGTACTTCAATAAACGCTAAACACACTAAAACACGCTAAACTGTGTTCTTTAGGGGTGAAAAGGCTACATATAATATGATTGAAATATGTTTGAATCCGGACAACGAAACACTTGGTAAGCGATTTAATTCAGTATGTTAAGTGTAAAGTTGACTCACATAAATTTCCTCTATAACGTATCTACTGTACAAAGCACATTTACACAGCAGCTCCACATCCCTGTCGAGCACCATCCAGGGAAAGTCGTGCAGCATCGATCAACATGATCGAAATTCTTACAATTTATTCAGTTTGTTTAAATATTTCATCCAAAGTCAAGATGAGTTTCGTTGATAAAAAGGAAACCAATACTTTTTCAATACTTTTTCAATACTTTTAGGTGGAGAAACATTTGAAGGAATGGATTCTGACTTGGGGTAAGAATTTAGAGCTATTTTGTGTTATATTTATCCGAAAGGAGCGTTGTTTTCTCAAGTGTTAAGGTTGAAATTCCTTCCTGTCTTGCCATCCTTCCCAGGCTATTTCTAATTGGCTATGTGCATGTTCTTGAGGCTGCTCATACGCTTCGCAAGCCAGGGCGAAATTGCGAGATGCCTGCCGAGGGGGCTATATTTATTACTGCCTCAATTACTGGTTCCAATAAGAGCAATGATGATGGATTGTAAATTTTATTATTTCTTTTCTTTCGTTTTGTAGAAACCAAGCAGAAAAAACGGACTCTCAACTTGCAGCTGTTAAAACTGCTGAAAAGCTTCTGAAGGTATTTATAGACGTCACCTTCCTTTATAACATATTCCTTGCAATCCTCCCATCAGATATCAAGCCAAAGACCGGGAACTGTAGGTTCAAATGGCATTCCATCTGATCAAGAAAAATTATCTAGACCTTCACGTCTTTAGATTAATAACCGTGCATATACTGTATAGGCTGCTGTCGTGTAGTTTGTCGTGGCCTAATGTTAACTTCAGCTATTGCTTGGTAGGTTCAACTAATAGATTAAATGGATAGTAAGTATGCAACTGATACCATTCAATTTAAGAAACCTATTACCTTTCATGAATTTAGGTCGTATGTCCGGTCTGTATATTTAGAATACGGCAATAAACAACTTGTCTTCGGTGAGACCATCGGCATCGCAGGACCCACATAATTCATAGCAAAAGATGGTACTGATTCATCATGCGCATGGGACGTAAAATAATTTGGCTACTTTAATAAGTTCCTTGCAGTTTTGCATGGTGAATAATAATATCAGTTTTGGTTTGTGGAAACACCGCATAGATTTACACAAATAATAAATTTACGTGCATGGTGTTTCCACAAACCAAAACCGAAAATTTCTACGTTCTTAAAGATCACATATACGCACTGCCTAACGAGCTTGATGTGCTTAACTCCGTGGCATTGCGCATGTCACTTGCATCACTTCTGCTTTTCCAACCATTCAGCTGCTACCTGCACTACACGGTAAGTTTTAGAAGATGGATTGTTTGTAACATGTTATTTATTACTTTCAGGAATTAAAGCCGACAGGAAACGGGTTAAAATATCGTATTTTGGAGAACTACGCATTCATGGCGAATAAAAATAAATCAAACATTGAAAAATCTCTATCGCATTTTATGGAGATTGCCACGGCTGAGGTATGCTACGATGGCTAGATTTCTCATTTTTTTATAGCTTACTGTATAACTAAAAACGAGAACGTTTTCCTTGAAGTTTTATTTGCTCTTTTGGCATGTATATGTCTATATGATAAGAAATAACAAGCTTTTCTGTACAAATCTCTTTTATTAAAACCAAGTATGTTGGCGGATCAACAGTTGACACCGTGGGAAGTTTTTTCTTGTTTGAGCTGGTCTGACAAGAGTTATATAGACTGGGAGCTCTTCGCATGTTGAAAAACTGTCGTAGATATGATCAAATCATCAAAAGAAAACTTGTCAAGGATAACATGAAAAAAATCTTTCTTGCGGGGAGCAATTCAAGAATCCTTTTCCGGCTGATAATTTCAGCAAAAATAAAACAAAAGTTATTCCGAATAAGGAGTGCATAATATTAACACACAATTTATAAAAACTGTATATTTTGAATCAAATCTGATCCATCTTCAGCAGTGGTTTGCAAGATATGACGTTTTGAACGACATGTCGTGCAAAGCAACTCAAGACGAGCATCTTTGACTTGTTTACTCTTCTTTTCAGCGTGATCACTTACCTTCTCTATTGGGCATGGCCACAGCCTATATGTATATGAAGCAAACACCACGAGCACGAAATCAACTCAAACGTATTGCTAAAATGAATTGGACCATGGAGGTATTTTATATGAACTGTCAGTCACTGCAGTATATACAGTACGTTCCTTCTCTAACGACCATGTACCATGTAGCCTTAGGCCTATCTTCATTCCAATCGTATCGAAAAGTAACGTACTTCTTTGTTTCGTGAGTACTAAAACTAATGATACACCTCTTGTCGAAATCCTGAAGATAGCAACTTTGTGCACATATAAACGAGACAGATTCGCCGAGACCTCTAGGTTGTACATCTCTTACTCTATAAAAACAAAACAAGAAATAACACGTATAGCTGTGCAGCCTTTGTTTTGACAAAGTATAAAACATTTTTCTGATGATTTTCATTACGTTTAGGAGGCAGACGAGTTTGAAAGAAGTTGGTTACTTTTGGCTGATGTCTATATTCAGGTAGCTATCATCTACGAGTTATTTCCTGCATACCAGTCTAGTCCCAATCTCTCTCTTCCTCCGTTGCTGCAGTGTTTTGCTGCTTACGTTCCTTTGCACGCTACCTTTAGCGTGACGTCATAACAAGGTTTCAGTCCCATCTATGTTATGCGCAATATGCAAGCTTTAGAAAGACAGGGCTTAAGTACTTGCATGGACTCTGTTGATAGTATATGCATCTGTTCACGTAAGCTATCTTCTGCGATTATACATGCAGTCACTTTGGCGTTTGTTTTGTACAGTGTTATATGAAGTTATCGGCAGGTAATGGGATTTTGGCAGATTCATCCTTTAACGCCATATTGCATGCAGTTATACGTGTTTCACTGAACTCAAGTTGATTGTAAATTATCCTGTCATCTAGAACGGAAAATACGATATGGCTGGAGATTTATTAAAGAAATGTCTGGATCATAATAAGGTAACTCTTCTTTAAAATAAGCCTGCAGGTTGCTTTGTTCAGGATCGAAGTCTATCTGAATACGCCTATACTGAGAAAACTCATTTCTTCAATTTCCCGATATTATGTATTCTTACACTAACCTCCTTAAGGTGGCTCCCTACGGTTTTTAATTTACTACACTATAGTATTCAGGAGACTCCTGTTTCTTCACTTTACATGACATGAAGACAAAATTTATTGGACACATTGACAATGTTCTCCTGAACATTACAAATTGCAACTTTTGTGTTAAAAATCTGTTGTCATGGCAACAGCATGCTTAGAATAAAGTTCAAAATTTGTTTTTTTCAGGTCATTTTAAAAATTCCCTTCGGTGAAATTTTTTAAAACTTTGCAGAAAAGGTAATACTTGTATAATGATTTTCCCCCCTCAATTTAAAAAAATTAAATCGATACGTTTCTTAGAAAATTTAAAAAACGTCAAAAATCAATTTTAAAAATTTTCCCTTCGATTTAATTTTAAGAAAAAAGGATATTGCACTTGTTGTGCCGATATTAAAAAATGTGCAAAGTTTTAAAAAAGTTCACCGAAGGAAAACGGAGAAATCTGGGTTTAATTTTGGCAATTTTTACTAAATTTTGACGCGAACAATTTAATACCACAACTGACGTGTACATGCATTTTGTATAAAACAACAAGGCATGACTTTTTTGAAATCACAAAATATAAATTATGTTTGATATACTGTTTATAACCGTGTCGGTTAATGGTCAACTAAGCGTGGATTATACATGTAAAATTGGCAAAGATATTTAGGTAATTACTGGTTATGACTTCTTGGTATTAATTTGAAAAATGTTTGTCAAAATTCGTCCCGTGCGAGTACTATCGTCGGATGTTTTCGCAAAATGCCCGTTCAAATTTCAGTTTTTATAGTGGTATGTTTGGAGTTTCGGCCTTTCTCATTTCTCCCGTAGAGGGCTCATTATTTAAGTCATCTTTATTGTCATAAGTGCTGCTAGATTGTGGAGAAAACACTGCAAATTCTTGAGGAAACTTTATATCATATCCCAATGTTCGCAATCGAACCTCGCGTACGGCGCCACGGCGGTTGAAAAAACTTCCGGAATACCGCTTCAAAAAAAAACAAGTTTACATTATCTTCTTTTGAAACATCACATCCAAGTATCCTTGTGGCTTTTAGAACACTTTTTATGCTTTAAACTGAAGCAAAATTCACACTTTTATTTCGAAAAGAGTTAAAACACAACGTTCGTTTGTATTTTGAAGTCACACGAGTTTTAGTTTACATATATACGAAGAACGTAACCCCCGGAAATAAACGCTAGGGAGCCACCTTAAATGGTTCAGTATGTGTAATATTTGGGTCGTTCTAAAGCGAAATGTACTATAGTTTTGTGGGGAAACCTCTTCTTAACCTCCATTGTCAATAATTAGTCATTTCATCACGTTACCACAAGATATCACAATGTGATGGATTGCAGACGATAACAACTTGTTGGGGCAACTTGTAACAAGTCTTGTGTGTCAAAAAAATTGTGGTAAGTTGTCAACAAGCCGCTGACAACTTGTCAACAAGCTGGGCACAAACAGTGCGAATACATCCTGATAATAAGTTGTTGAAACAGCATTGATACAAGTCTGTTGCAGGTTTGTTACAAGTTGTACATTTTTACTTGTGTAGTCTAGACGTGTATTTCTTTGTTTCAGTCGTGTTGTAAAGCTTGGGAGTACCTGGGATTTATAATGGAGAAAGAACAAGCGTATCAAGATGCTGCAAAAAATTATGAAAATGCTTGGAAATTTGGGAATCAGAATAATCCTGGAATTGGTAAGATTTATATTACGCTTTGCATGGGGAAACTAGAAAGCATTTGCAGGGATGTAGCGAAACATGTGGACTGGGGGTGGTGTATCTGAAAGTTGAACTTTAAATTTAAAAATTAACTGAAGTGTAATAATTGTAGTACACATTTTTATGATTGATTATTATTTTAATAACTGAATTGTCGCGTGAAAAAAAAACAGAAAAAATATTTCATATTTTTGAAGAACGACATTTCCAGCGTTTTTAAAGCGACTCAAATTGACTGTATCTAAATTAAATAAATTAATACCCAAATTCTGCCTGAAAATGTGAATATTTTACCGTGAGTCTCCAGATTTTTCTGATCTTCCAAAATTGGGGGCCTTACACCTCCATACACACCAACCTCCAACCCATCGGATCCCGATCGCTACGTCCTTGAACTCAGGAAAAAGTTTTTTTGTTGCCCGCGCCTTCGGGAAACATGGCTAGAAAACAATGTTTGCCAGTTTGCACAGAGCTATACTCTTGGGCTCATATGTATAAATATATGCTTTACTTTTCTCACCGTAGGTTACAAGTTGGCTTTTAATTATTTGAAAGCGAAACGGTTTGTGGACGCGATTGACGTTTGTCATAAGGTAAGAAAAGTTTTGACGAAGAATGTGAAGTTTTCCTTTACCCGCAGAATAGACCTTATGCATAATGACGTCACAAGACTTGATGCCCGCGAGAAATGCTGGTCTTAGTAGTCATCGTCCATTTTGAATTGTTTAATTTTCCCGGGCGATGACTATTAAGACCAGCATTCCTATCCAAACACTAATCCTTACATTGTTTTAATCCAAACCATTATCCAAACACTTATCCTTACATTGTTGTGATCCAAGCCTTTATCCAAACACTAATCCTTACATTGTTTTAATCCAAACCTTTATCCAAATACTAATCCTTACATTATGTTAATCCTAATGGTAAATCCAAATCCTAGTCATAATCTTAATTAATCCCATCACTGATCCTAACCCCAAGTCTATCGTAGTACTAACCTAAAACTGCGAACCAAAGTTATTCAGAGAAAGTTATTGTCTCTATTTCAGGTTTTATCTCAACATCCCAAATATCCGAGAATAAGAAAAGAGATTCTTGAAAAGGCACGATCATCACTCCGAATTTAAAACGTACTGCATAGTGTATATGGTACTTGTCAGAGAAATGTTTTGTAAATATGTAAATATACAGCAAACGTGTTGCAAAAAGCGAAAACCACTTGATATAATTAATAAATATTTATTACCATTCCAAAACAGTTTGTAGTTTGAAAAGAAAGAAAATTTGTTATTCACGTGGTGTCGTTTTCTATGGGACACGTTGTACATGTACACAAGTTACAGAAATGTTCTTTTATTTACGTCTTTAATTAATACAATATACATACCTTGATTCAATTCGATGTGAGGCTATTTTCTTTGAATTTCACAAGAGACTGCTTCAGTTTTTTAATTACTACCGATTCCAATATCGTACTCGCCAGTTTGGTTTCCTTTTTACAAAGAATGCCCTCGAGCGGCGTTTTGTCTACAGCCTGATTACAGAATGTATATTTAAAAAGGAAAGAACAGTTTCTTACGAATATTTCACCTTCGTGAATGAGGCCCTAAATTAAGCAATTATATAACTTGAAAACACATAAATTTCACTGGAGTTGGAAAGATTACGGTAGTTCTCATGATAATGCGTAATCATGCATAATTTCTTGACTCGATAGCTCATATTAACGACAGTGCTTGTTACTATATTATTATAACATTTTGATTTGTATGGGGTACACATATGGCGTAACCTATAGCTTTCAAATCATGAATTTCATAATTTAGTTTTACCGAAATCAACATCCTTGCCATTTCGTATCACCGTAAGTGTTAATAACAACTCAAAAGTTGATATTGTAAAATCGTGGTAACTTTTATTGAATTTACTCAAAAATTAAAATTTACATATTTGTATATTTCAGTTTTAATAATCTTTTATAAATTATTTGGTTTGGTTCACAGTCACTTCTTCAAACGTTCAGCATAACCACGAAATATATCAGCATTATAATCCATACGTTTCTTAATGCCACCATCTCGCCCAGGTTTAGATGCGCAATAATCAGCTCGGTCAAGATATTCTTCCGCGACCTTGTCCCACTCGCCATTATTAATATACTTGACTGTCTTCTGAGAAGATGTATACTCTCCACGAAAAACGCCGTTCACTAGCGCAGTCTTGACTTCATGGGGATATTTATCGTAATTTGGGAAAAGACGTTTGGTTTCTTGTACTTTGTCTTTCAATGTTTCCTGGAAAAGCTTGTTGGCTTGAGCTTTTGTCAAACTTGCTTTCCCAGAAAGAACGTCGTCAAAAGACGCATCGGGTACATTTCTTTGAAAGATTTGACGTGCATTCGCTTGTTCCATGTTGAAACCCACACCGATAGTTTTAAGTCCTCGTGTATCAGTGTAAACTGACGTTCTCATACCTTCAAAGCCCGCAATGATTTCTCCCATAGCCATGCCTATATGATGATAAATTAGCCATGATTTAATGATAGGGACAAGTAGATGATTATATGTAAACTCGAAAACGCGTGATGATTTAATACAAAACTGTTACGACGCTTTATATACCTTCACTCTTTGGTTGGAGTTATACGAATTGCTTGCGGAAAATTTCACAGCTAATAGCAAAACGAATATAGTCTATATATAGAGCATGCACTGCATGTGAGGTAGACTTGTGAATGACGACATTTGAATAGGACTTTGCTTGCGACATTACCTAGCCATCGACAAAATCATGCTGCTGGGGATTTGAACACTATGAACTAGTTGGACTTGAAATTACTGTTTCCAGTGGATTGTCTGAAGGGACTATAGAATGTCATTTTGGATTCATTCAATATTGCTTGTCCTGTCAGAAAATTGAATTGATATCAGTATTCTTTACTTACCTTATGATTGTCCGTTATTTTCGTGTGTGCAACGACAAACCTTGTTATATAACTATAAAGCTTGACAGAGAAGTGAATCGTCCGTTGATAATGATTAATGAGAATAGATTTGAACCGTATACTTGTTCTGTGGTCTTGAAATATATAGTTAAATAAGACGTATTCCGGGAATTTGATGATATGGAAAGTATACTTGGGGAATTTTCAGTTCACAGTATGTGAACTAATTTTAGAACATTAAAAAAATTTGCATTATCGTTTTACTTCTAATTGACTGAGACGAAGTGAAAATATTATAAAATGAGTGAAAGAGAATTTACTATTTATTTATTTATTTAGCCACATATATATATATATATATATATATACAGGGTGTATAAAAAAAACTGAACAGATTTAAAATTGCTCTCAATT